ATGCAAACATGTCTTTTTTTTTTTTTTTTTTCTCCAAAGTCACTTTTGATTTCAGGTCAACAAACTTCAGACTCCAACTTGTTGCATCATGTCTTCCTTTCCTACTGTAGCATTTCACCAACTCATCATATGAAATATTAAAAAAAAAATTGTGCAGCGCATACAGATTAAATATCTTCTAAAAGATTTTCAGCTTATTTTTGGTGACTTTTTACAGGCTGTCTCTATTGAAATGTATTGTTTATCGCTTTTTGAGATTTATTTATCCATCCATCTATCCATCCATGGTCCAATGCCGACCATCTATCTATCCATCAATGGATTCTTTGGTTTTTACAACTTTTGTAGGACAAAGACTCCTGTTGTAGTGACTCTTACAAATTTGAACAAAAATGGACTAAAACTCTATAAAAACCTATAAAAGTATAATATTTGCTTGTAGTGTAGGAACCATGTGGCAAATTTGAGGTCTTGACTTTGTCATACAAATGCCATGTATTTATCTTCACAAATAGCTTAATGAATGTCCCAGGAACTGACTGTTTTCTTTTTTCAGGGAAAAAAGAATGAATTTTTTTTCTTATGTTAAAATCATAAGAAGAAAAAAATCTGTATACTAAAATGTAAACCCATCTGTTTCTGGAACTTTCTGAAAAATACATTTTAAGAGGGGAATGCAGGAAAAGCTTCAAATCACTCCCATGTAGGTCTTATTTGTGCAGGTGTTGCTTCACAGGAAAACTCCAGAGTCTGGGGTGTTTTTTTTTTTTTTTTCTGAAGGTTGTTGGCACTCCAGTACATCTCAGCTCTGCTCTGCATGAAAAGTCTTGCAGACCTTTATTTGACCTCCCACCATTTCTGGCACCTCACATAATTAAAAAGAACTGAGCAAGCAGATGCTTGAAGATGTTTTATTATCTTATAGCCTTTATGGTTTTGTGGTCTAAATTATTTGGATTTGCAGAGTTCATAGTAATGTTCTTATCTGTCAAGAAGGCAATGGCCTGCTGATTGTTGAATTTTGGCCTCGAGAATACATCAAGTCTCACATTAATCTCTTTAAAAAATAAAAAAATAAAAAAAAGCAGGTGTTAGGGTTGCACAAGTTTTGAATGACCCATTTTAATTACTTTTGTTCCGAAACAGATACAGATAAAAGTAGAATTTCAACTTTCATAAAATGCTAGAAATGATCTTTTTGTTGTCTTATTTGCCAGATGTGCAAAGCTAAATTTTTGCTTCGCTTCACAAAAACAAATTTATTTTCACCCAGTAAGCTTTTTGTCATTTTATCCTGACATGCAAATCGACGCCTTTGAATTCTCACTTCACGGGTTTCTCTGGGTCCTCTTCTGGAAATGTGCTACTAGTCGGCTGACTCCTTTATAAATATTGCATGTAATAAAAGCTTTAAGAGTGTTTTCACCTGAGTGGGTTGGTTAATGACTGCTTCCAAAAATCACAGTTAGAAATTGTGTTACATATTAATTCCTTGCTTCAGTTTGAGCAGATAATTTCAACTTAATGGTGGCATCAGCAAATAAAGTTTTAGGGGGAAAAAAAGTTTTTTTTTTTTCTCTTTGCCTTTAAATATTTGGGATTAAAGCCTGGGGGCAAAAAAAAAAAGTATTTGCATAAATTTAAATAGAAATAAATTCAGCTAGATTACTTTCCTTCATTTCAAATGCAGTGTTTTTTGCTGTTGGTTCAGAACCTGAGCAGTTCTTACCTAAGATGTCTCGATCCTATTTCAGGCTAATGGTTCCAATCAACAATCAAGGTTTTTTTTTTTTTTTTTTTTTTTAAATCAAAATCTGAGTCCCAGAGAAAACTCTGCTTCTAATAACTGTCATAATCCCACGGTGCGTGAATCTGGACCTGTGTGAAGAGGCGGGTTTGTCGATTCGCTCACCTGCATACTCCGTGTGTAACATTCAGGTATCGAAGTGCATGTGTCAGCAATCTGAGCTTTAGGAAGAAACGGTTTTCTCTTATCTTTGCCAGAAATGTTTCCAACATTGAAACAGAGCAGCCAAGCTGTGTTTTTTTTTTTTTTTTTGGCTGCGGCGCATTGACACCTAGTGATTCAGTCAAAGGCCACATTTGAAAGAGAGTTTCCCGCCCACTGGACAGATCTGTCTCTGTCATTTTGTCAGTTAAGTCAGCATAGCTGAGTCCTCGTGCTTTAGAGTGCTGGTAGAATAACACTGATTTTTGTGCTCTTTTGACCTTGTATTTGACGTAAACCTCCCAAAATTAGAAAAAAAAAAAAAAAGAGATGGCTTTTACCAAGGAAACTATAAAATCAGAAACCCTGCAGAACTTCTTCACATTAAGTATCATATTGTTTTAGTTTAGCAGACTTTCAGTTTGTAATGTAACAAGGTGAACAAATGATCATTCGCATGTTTTTACTGCTTTTCTATTCAGAACTGTACGTTGGTGTTCATTCGTTCAAAGCAGTTCAGTCTTGCTTCAGTGGCTCATGTGTAATGATGTTTCACTCCATCTTTTAACTCCAGCAGTAAAATATTTGTGTATCTTCTCCCTGTTTCTTTCCTTCTTCATGACGTTATTTGAGCCACCGACTTGACCGTGCAGCCAAGAAGCGACGCTTATGTCCGTTTACTGTGCATGCAGTGAGACCGGTCTGAACGCACATAGCGGGATCGACGAGTTGACACGTTTCAGGTACGTCGATTTAAAAGACGGGGCCGCACAGGAGAGTCGTTCTTTCCTCGAGTAAAAATGTTTGTACTAAATCTTACCTAGCTTTGCATACTTTTATTTTCAATGTGGTGTAATTACGATTTCTATGTGATTGTTCACACATTCATTTGGTCAACGTAAGCGACATCCTTATGAGGAGGAATTTGAAAGCTGGACCTATTATAATCTTATTTTTCTACTTGAGGTGTTGTTGTTTTTTTTGTCTTTTTTTTTTTAACGGTTTGCATTTCCCCGTGTCTTTCCAGGAAAAGCAGGAGAGTAGAGTAACACATTTTGTTGATGCCGACTCAATTCCTGCAAGTGTTGGAAAGCCGCAGCGGTGAGCCAGCAGGCTTCGCATCTTAGATGTTTAAAGGAAGGGAGGAAGAGCAATTTATATCAGTGTGCTGATGTACATTGCCATATCATTGGTAGGTTATAGCTGCATCACACACACATACAGAAACATGCAGTCTGTCACACAGAGAAAGTAAACCCCTGTAGCCATAGGATTATATTGCTCATGCTCGGTTTGAGGTATAGAGCTCCGTATAATCAAAGATGGTTGAAATGCTGATCTTCCGCAGAGTGTCCTCCATTTCCCCTTACGACAACCATGTGACGTGAGTTTCTTTGAGCTCAAGGGTTTTTTTTTATTATTATTATTTTGGAGGGAGTTTCAATCTGGGAAAAAAAAAAAAAAAAAAAAAAAAAATCTGTGAATTTAAAATGTAACAGTTCATCAACTTCAAGTCCACATACAACACCTTTAGGCTCCAAAAGAGTAAAAAAAAACAACTAATCTCTGTAGTTGCTCAGCACCAAGGCTAAAGTCAAAATATTTCTCTGAAAAATGCTATTCAAATGAAAGTAAAAGGTTATTTTAATCAAAATAGTCTTTCTTAAAAATATATATATATATATATATATATTTGAAAATATATTGTTGCCAGAGGCAAGATAGTCTGAAATAAAATTCTGAGCTTATGCGTAAAATTACATTTACTTTTATATAAAGATAAACAAGCACGGGAGTAGTTTGAAATAAAATGCAAAACCTACAGTGATTTAAAAGTATTATGATGATTTATGATTTTAAAAACACCATGCTGCAATCATTTACTGTGGTCATTAATATTTTTCAACTCACGTTGAATATTTCAAATGGTATTTACAGAAAAGGCACTTTAAACCTTTAATTCAGACACAAAAAGCGTTGTCTCCTTATACTGGAGACTGCCTGTGCAGCACTTGTTTCCTGTAAACTTTCCATCTGTTGGCGTTTTCATGATTAAATGAATCTGTGTTTCATTATCTTCTGGATTGAGTTTGACTTTCAGAAAGACAACAGTCTGTAAGTGAGACTCGAAGCATGACTTCCCAACTGTAGTATTTCTTAGCATGGACAATGTGGCGACCGCACTTAGTAATAGAGAAACTGCACCTGTGATATAAGTCAAGATTGGAAAGCGGGATTGTCTGCATACCCAGCAACCCACATTGATTGAACCTGGTGTTATGCTTTGCTGCTGAGATGTCAAAAAAAAAAAAAAACTATCTCAACCTTTTTTGACACTTAACTTTATAGATTCTTGTTGGAAGATTGCAGACAAGATCAGTTACTGCAGCTACAATGAGAGAAGCACTCTGGCTGTAAGCTAATTTAGCCAGGAATAGAGTCCTGAGTCAAGATCTGCTGGCTGATGCAGTTCTTCTGGTTGTCTGAGTTTTAAGACGAAGTGTGAAACACTTGCAGCAAATCCAAGTGTGGCACACAGAAGATTATATTCTTTTACTTGTGCAAATTATGGTTGGCATGTGTGACTTTGCAATAACTTGTGTACGGAGCCTTCATTTTTGCATATTAAACTGCCGTGGTCTGATCCAAGTAAAATTACCCTTTCTAAAACAATGTTAATGCTTTTAAAAGCTGAGGTGATACAAGGACAGATGCATGGCTTGTTATCTCTTTCCAACTGTGAGAAAATCACTTAAAACTGAAAGAAATGGAAATTTAGAGCAAACGTTAATTGCAACTCTACTTGAACATATAACAGAGCATTGTTTAAGAAAACGTAGTTTCCTTGCACCTTCGATTAGTTCAAGAAGTATGTGCAATGATGTGCCGAACAGGTATGTCCAAAATAGAAATGGGACGCGGCTCTCTCTGTTGGAGGTGCTTGTTAGGAAATTTCCTAATGCCAGTGCATTGCTAAGGGGTCATTAGTCTGCCAATTACTTCATGCTCAGTGGAGAGACTCTTCTCCATCGCAGAGGGAATCAAAACAGACTCCTTCAGTGATAACATTTCACCTGCACAGTCTCACCACACTGTCTTTTTATCAGAACTTGACATGTCAAGGATGATATGTCAGCGACGCTGATGGAAATATTTGCTGACATAATGTTTTTTTAAATATATGGATTAATGCATATTTTTCACAAAATTCTCCACTTTGCCAAACTTGAATGTCCAGAGACTTTTATTTGCCCTTTTTTGAAAGTGTAAAAAATTATAGACTGTTGCGGATGGAAGAGCGGATGTATAAATGTGTGGATGAACACAGCCTTTTGATTACGTTGTTGGTATTAAAGTCTGATAATACAAATAAGTACAAATATTACAACCATATTCTATTTTCCTTTTTCTATATATATGTTAAACCTTGAAATGTAGAGCAGAATGTTTCAGACTGCATGAGAACCCTTAGTCAATTTTCTGCTTATCAGATGATAAAAATTCCATTATAAATTTATGTTTACATTCACAAAGTGAAAATTGTAAACTAGACATTATCACTCTTGAAATAGTTAATGACTGAATCAGTCTTGCAAACTCTCAAAAACACTGCTTCATGCAAATTTACTGCAGCAGAAAATGAATATGATTACTTCATTCACAATGGTGTCAGCGAAAGTGTTGACAATAAAACCATTAAAAATGTCATTGTTTGCATTTCTTAAGAAAAGAAAAATCTTAAAGATACACCCATGCCGCCCTTCAAGCCAATATGGAAGTGAATTTAATTACAGGGTGCAGTCAAGTATGTATGTGCCTCCTAAAAAAAAAAAAAATAAAAAAATTGTTTTTGCCTATTTGTCAATCCTAAATGTTTTGGAACATTAAATAATTCTATTTATCAGACAGAGATGACTTCTTGAATAAATACAAATAGCATATTTCCAACAATGATTTTATTCATTAAGGTATTCAAACAAACCGGGCTCAATCTGAAACAGCAGTATCTAGGATATTAAACTGTAATTAACCACAATTCCACAAGTCACTGCCAATTATTAGTCATTTGTAAGACTTTAGGACCCCAGTGAGAGTCATTATCTGAAAAAAAGTACTGTTAAAGAACTTTTACAACTCATCCAGGAGGTAAAAGAAAAAGCCAGATTAACATCTAAAGCGCTATAGGTCTCGGGTACCTCAGTTAAAATGGGTGTTTATGATTCAGTCACATTAAAAATGGAATCAATGGGAGAGATCCAAAGCAACTCCCCCTCTGCCCCCCCGCAAAAAAAAAAAAAAAAAAAAAAAAAAAAAAAAAATCCGGGTTATTTTTGGGAAAAAAAAAAAAAAATTTAGCAGCTGATTCACTAAATATCAGCTTTGGCGAGTGGAAATATGAATTCTGCTCTCTGATTTGCAATTAAAAACATTTCAGATTTTACAAAAAAATTGATCAATTGAACATGGTGCATAAGTACTTAGTCTGCCAAACATCAGAATTGGGCATGACGGGGTTCCAAACACTAGTTTGCAGCAAAGGGCTTTGACGTTATCCTTTGTGTGTTCCAAATATGCATCATAATCACAATAGCTTAAGACAGAATTCATTTTAGTTTCTGAAACTTGCAGCAACGCTGATGATCGTGATTTCAGACCTGTCCAAAAATATTCATGATCATGTTTTTCTTCCCACAATCTGTCAGTGAACGGAAGGCCCTCATTTTGGTTAAGCAATGTTAACAGCAGCAAAATAAGGGAAAAAAACAAAAAATCATATTTGAGGGTTATTGCCAGAACTACATAATAAATATCGAAAAGATCAAAGACCAAGAATAGTGGGAAACCTGTGCTTTCATTTTTCACATGTTTTGCCCTGTAGCTTACAAGACGCCCGTAAGATATAAGTGAATTAAAAGGGAGGAAAAATTAGGTCGTGAATTGCTGGCCCAAAAAACAACTGCAGCTCTATCTTGGGTCGTCTTCTCGCTGCCCTCGCTCTTTTCCCCCTCATCTGCTCTCTCTTCTAATTAGCTTCTACAGCGAGTGCAGACTGGACAGGGGTCTATAATGGAGCCAGATGTTCGAGGAGATTTCACCCCGCAGGGGAATGTTTTGTTTACTACAAGATGAAAACAACTTTCTTGCCCTCGCTCTCCTTTTGGGGGTTGTTTATGTGCAAAAAAAAAAAAAGAGAGAGAAAAACACATTTTCCTGACTGCTCCGGTTGCGAATCGGTTGCCAAGAACCAGTTCAAAAAGACATTCCAATTTGTACATAACTTTTGAAGGTTTGCTCTTCAGTAAATATGTCTTATTAAATTACAGTTTGTTTGTAAACCCAGAAGAATGATTAATTCTCAAAAAGGAATATACAATATAGGTGGAATATTGCACAGTCTCAGTTGTGTCAGCAGAAAAGACCCGTCTTACCTTGCACTATTTTTCCCCTCCTCATCCAACACAGTGCGACGACCCTAATCCAGTTCAGCACTTATCAGTGCAAAGTTGACACATAGCCTATTTCTGATATGATTAATTTAGTTTTGGTGTAGCCTGCCGGAGGATCATTCTTAATCAGCAGCGAGAGGCCGGCCGAGAGCAGCCGGCTCCATACATCAGCAGCAACATGAAAAAAACAAACGAAGACAATCGGAATCAAATCCATCTGCATCTCGCAGTGATTCGCCGAGCAGGATTAGGATGGCAAGTCACTGAGCCTGATGCTGAGTGTCACTGCCGGGTATGAGATTGGACAGTAATACCCTCACACTCATCAGTGTCTTCAGATCCAGTGAGGTTGTAATTGGGTAGTGCTCGAGGCTCCAACAACTGATAAGGTTGATTAGTCTAACAGCAATGGAGGACACTGCAGAGCTTTATAAGGAGCAGGCAGAAATGAGATGGACTTCTAAAGGGGAATAGAAGTTCATTAGACTGAGAAAGTTTGTGCCCAGTTCACTTGGAGTGTTTGCGAAATAGTCGCGCAAACAAAAAAATGTGTATGCTGTTATGTATATAAAACCTAATCCAAAAGTAAAAACAAAAAAAAAAACAAAAAAAAAAAAACATGAGAAATAAAAGATAAATGTCTGCAAATGTGGAGAATTTGTTAAAAAAAAAATTGTGTTGGTTTGTAGTACAAATGCATCTCAACAGACGTGAAAACGAAATATTGAAATGTGGTGCTGTAACAATTGTTTTTTTATTTTTGCCAGTTTTTTTTTTTTTCATAGTTAAATGTTGCAGATCAGCAAGAAAGTTTAATAATAAAAAATAAAAAAAATAAGCTGTGGAAACTCAAAAGCAGTTTTAAAAAGAATATTTGATTTTTTTTTTCCTATAATGGCGAATGACTATTCAAACCCACCTAGACAAATCACATAAAGTAGAGACTTTGTGCAAAACATAAATGAAAACAGGACACAGTGATTTGCAAATCCTTTTTAGCCTATATTCAATTTGATTCGCTTCAATGATAAGATATTTACTTTGCAAATGAATAAACTTTATTGTGTTTTTGCAAATATTCAGTCATTTACCGCTTTGTGAACAGAGTGCTTGAGCAAATAGCCCAACAGTTTAAGACCTGTTCCCTACAGCAGGGTTCCACAAATCCATTTCCGTTAGGATCAGTCCTCTGACTGTTAGATACGGACCCGGCTTCTACGCACCTGAGTCAAATTAAAAGGCCATCGGGAGAAATTGAGTTGCGTACAGTAAGAGTTTCAAAAACTTTGTGTTCTTCTCTGACTGATGAGACGTGAGTCGGCTGAGTCGTCTCTGGATATTTTATTAGTGACATCAGGGCAGGTGGTCCAGGTTCAAGCAATGACCAATAAAAGGGAGATAAGGGGCAGTGATGTAATATTCAGAGCTTACTTGTATACCGTAGAATGATGTCAAACAGATTCCATAGTTATTTCCTGCCCTGATACGTAGCAAGGTGGGACATGTATGGTGGTTGTCCTGCATAGCATTAACGGTGCTTTTTTTTTTTTTTAGTGCACGGACCTTAATATTTAAAAAAAAAAATGTCTTTATTGCTCTCAAATATTATCAATTTTGAAGTGGCTCAATTTTATATTTTCATTAGCTGTGAGCTATAGTTATAATGCAAAAGAATAAATGCTTATTAAATTTCTGTGTGCATTGAGTATAGTTACCAAATGATCAAAAATACAACTTTTTGATATCTCAATTTATTGAAATATCAGAAATGCAAATTGGGCAAATTACTTTCAAAACTCAGGAGAAAGTTATCATATTATTCAAACTCATTTTAAAAAATTTACATAAGAATATCTAAACAGTCTGAGCCAAAATATATATAAAAAAAAAAAAAAAAAAATATATATATATATATATATATATATATATATATATATATATATATATACACTTTAACAGATCTATCCATAAAAATATGTCTTTGACGCTCTTCCCTGCAGATTCCACATACTGGTTGTCTTTTGAATCTCACCCACATCATTCCGGTCTCTGAGCTGAGAGAGGAAACAAGAGGGGAGAGAGAGAGGGCTGTGGTCTGCCCCACGCCAGGCGCGGGGCAGGCCACGACCGGCCTCGGAAGGTCGGCCTGCCCCCTCTCAGCTCCAGAGAACCGAGAGGGGAGAGAGGGGGGGCACAATCACATTAGCATAAAGTCAAATCTGCCTTTTGTGAAATGCCAATCCAATTAGCACGTCCCCGTTCAGCTCGTTTTTCCTAAAAGAGGCTTTTGCATCTTTTACAAGGATGATGTGCAGTAAAAAAAAAAAAGGCACATTTAGTAAACTGTGAGGCCCTCTGGCTTTCCTATGGGATTATTTGAACTGGGTGGCTAATGAAATGGATCTATAAAATCCGCAGGGCACCCTGTTAAACTCCGAGCGGAACACGAGTACGCTGTGGTAAGGGGTCTCCTGGGAAGTCAAAAAATGAGATGATCCTTGTCAGTGGAAATTTTGTTGCTCGAAAGCCTTAACTATATTGACTATTGACGAGTATTATAGCTGGTGATGAAATGGAGAAAAACAACTCCACAATTTTACTGTGATCTATGTGGTAGTTCCACATAGATCCAAAAAGACAAAAAAGAAAAAAAAAAAAAAAAAGAAAATGGGGGAAATTTGAGGCTTCTAATTAAGCTGCATTAACTAATGGAGCATTCGTTACAGGCAAAAAGTTTTGAAGCACAAAAATGATTATTAGTACACTTTGCAACAAAATAAAAATATCAACGAAAGCCAAACATAATTACATGTATCTCTACAAAAAAAGTGACTTCTTCGCACTTAAATGAAAAAAACATGGGCTTACTCTTTAAACAAAAGACATAAACCTATAGGTCTTTCCTAGCTAAGGAATAGATAGGGGCATCCTACCGCCTAATCAATATTGACCTCTTTGGCAAATATAACTTCAATAAGTCATTTATTGCCTCCATCTTCCAGAAGACATCTGTTTGAGCGAAGTTTGTCACAGTTCTCAGTTTCAGTTGTGAAATGTTTGAAGGGTTTCTTGTATATAGAGCTTGTTTTCCGTGGGTCATTGTCACGTTGTGGGGTCCAGGTTTCTCTGTTGCTTTATTTTTTATTTTTTAACCCTCCCACAGACAGGGTCCATTGGACGCCACAAGCTTTTTAGCCCAGTGACCCCACGTGCACTTTCAGGAGGTGTATTTTTGTGCTTCCTCACTGTCCGACCGCGACATCTGCTGCGCTCTTTCTGAGCGTCGGGCTAAAACTGTGGGAGGATTAGAGATGGTCTGATATTTTCAAACACCTTCCGATGCATAAATCCAGGTGGACTCTCTAATATTGAACTGGCCAGGTTTTCCTACAGCAAGCATCTCCAAACCACAAGTCTTTCAGCTCCATGCTTCAGAGGTGGCATGAAGCATTTTCCTTTAACTTATGTGTTCAGTTTATTTATCCTCTACATAACTGAATTTTAGACATTGTTTCAGGAGTCCTGGTCTTTTACCTCATTCTGAAAGTTAAACTTAACTCTGAAGGCCTCTGGTTTTAGTTGGACTTGTACGTTGTGATGCTCATCGTACTGATATGATGTAACCCTCCCAAAGTCCCAGGAGGGGTCGAGTGGACGCTGCACAAAGAGGGTTATTATTACATATTATAATATCTGGGAGCCATGCAAAAAATACAAATAAAAAAATGGCTCTCTGAAAAGAGCCGGAGTTCCCATCTCTATAAGCTGACGGAAACAATGTATAGATGCAAATTGTAATGCTTTTACACTGACGTTGTGATTCTTGCACATTTATAAGCACCTTCAATTTTCTGCTTACAATCCCTTTTTTAAAACAGTCGGATTACAGGATTTATGTGCCGCATGATCAGACTTTGCTTTCATTGATTTGCTCCGTCTAACTGATGTTCCTCCTCTTCACCTTTAGGTACAGATATATTGATGCTCCCAAGCAATCACTGAATAAATATAGAACAACATAGATTCAAGGTTGGCAGGACTTTCATCCTGAGCCTCACTCCAGAAGAGTGATTTAGTGTGCTGCTAAAACTAAAAAGAAATGCTCTAAAGGCATTTCATTGTTATATTTTTTACATAAAAACTGTTCATCTGAGTATTAATGGTTAAAATATTCTTTCACCGTAGAAAATCAATCGCTACTTTGCCCACATCGATCCCCTCTAAATGGAGGCATCCTTGAGTTTCAAGCTTTATACCAGTTAGTTTATAAGACAGGATCTGTGTAATTGCTACTAAGGCCAAATCTAATTTTACCCCTAAGTTGCTTTCTCTACAATTTCCATAAAAATCAGGATTATGGGGAGCACAAATGATTAAAGCCATCTAACAGGGTCAGAAACACAAATTCTGCAGCAGGGGCTGCAAATAAACTCTCCAGTAGAGCTCACTTTTGCATTTTGCAAGTATGCAGTACTTTCATTCACAGTTGTAATAGTTTTTTTTTTTTTTATAAACTGGAGGAAACCTTTATTATAGTGGCTTTTGTTTGCCAATCTGAAAATAAATTCTTCAGCAAAACCAAAGAAATGCCCTCCCTACTGTACTAGATAATGACTGCAACAGTGCAAAATTATAAATGGGGAACAAACATGACTGTCTTTAAAGCGATGGTTATCAGATTTTTACTTTGTTATTCTTCTAAATTCCTGTAATACAGTTACAGAGCGGAAGCATGGTGGTACATAAAAAGTAACACCAGCTCAAATATCGGTTATGTAATTGCTGCAAAGTTTCTTTTTAGCTAAGTTGCTATGTAAAGCATTTCAACAAGTAGATATGCTGGAGACAATTTGTTGAGTTCAAACTGAGCCTCAGAGTGAGGAGGAAAAGGCAATTGAGTTACTTTGGACTTCGATTGCTATATTGAGATAGTGTAATTTGGCGAAAACATGAAAGCATTGTTTATCTCGCCGTGTATTAAAAGTTCAGCGTGGCGGTCATGTGGTAATGGATAATATTTTCTCGAGAATCCAGCAACTACCTATCCGAGTGTTGTTTCTATCCCTTTCTGACCAGAGTGTACCTACCTTCTGATGGATACTTCCAGAAAGATAATGCATCTTATCACAAAGCGAGATCGTCTTAAATGGGTTTCTCAAACAATCGATCTAGTGGAACACCTTTGGGACGTGGCGGAGCGGGAGATTAGCATCGTGGAAGCTGCACGATGTTATCATTTCGCTACGGACCACACACTGACGAATGTTTCCGACATCTCGCAGAATCTCTGACACCAAAAATCACGGCGGTTCTGACAGCAACTTGGAGTCTAACCTGACACCGACAAATTGTCTGATGAGTGCAAACTGAAAAATGGACGTGGTGACCTTCATGGTTTCTTGAAGTTTTTCTCCATTTTGAAGTGAAAAGCTTTCATCATTTTTCTTGTAGACTTGGTAAGGAGTAGTGGGTGATATCATGATTCAGTCTTAATAGGCCCTGAAGTGGAAATCAAACAGAACATACATTTGGTAAGCTTATTCTAATTTAAGTTATCTGAAAGAGATGAAAATAAGATCCCAAATGCAAAACTACAATTCACTTTTTAATTAATGGCGGCACCATCAAAGAGCCAGGAGTGAAAATGTAATATATTTATTATCTCATAACAGATGCTTGGTGCAAAATCATTAATGAGAAACTTCACCGTACCCAACTTCAACTAAAAGGCTCCAGGTGACTCATATTATAGTTCAGGTTTTTTTTTTTTTTTTTGTTTCTCTTTTCTTTTTTTTTCTTTTTTTACAAGACTTTCTAGAGTGTATTTGGCTGGAACGAAACCCAGCGAACCTCAAATTATCTACCTCCTCTTTTCATCATTTCAGCTCTCTTGCACACCATTCCTTTACTTTTGGACATTTTACCCACAGTTATATCTGTTCTTGTTCGCACATTATTTTCTTGCCTTCTTCTTCAGTCTCCGCTCAGCTCTCTCTGTATCTGCCAATTTCATGCCAGGCCAGTCATTGGAGAATCACCAAGGGCATTGAAAACAAT